CCTCCGACGTTACAGCGTATGCACGACACGACAAAAGTTTGACAAACTCGTCGAAATTATGAACAACCATGATGTTGTCAATCGCTCATTTGCTTCCATTGATTCCACCACTGTAGGAGCCCAAGTTTTACCTCTATTATGAGACTCTCAATTTCCTTGCCTTTATCCGACCAACTTTAGCCAATCTAAAGTATGTCTCTTTCACCACACTCGCTATTGGGAGATGGCATGTACCTTTTAGTACTGAATTAATGGCCTCAGCAAGGTTTGTGGTCATATGTCCGTATCTCTGACCTTCATCGTATGATTGCGACCATTTTTCCCGCAGTATTTTTGAAGCCCACTTCCAAACACGTTGATCATCGTAAAATACCTTCAAATTCTCCAATCTCTTGTCAAAATTTGGTCGACGTAGTTCGTATCCTGTTTCATAATATATTGTTAAACCGCAATTAAAAAACCACGTAAAAAATGCTCAAATATTGAAAATAAACTTACCCATGCTGACTATCTCGCTACGAATGTGTGTGTTACATATGAGGTATCCAACGACTTCCTGGTCGTTCAATTGTCACCAAAATACCCGTTCCTCTATCGGATATCAAGCAAACTCCATATTCACGAACGATATATTGACGTAGATTGGTCAGAAAGAAATCCCAAGCCTCTGTTGTCTCTCCCTCAACTATGGCGAATGCAATTGGGAAGATATTCCGCTCACCATCTTGAGCAACTGCCATTAAAAGTACATGCCTATATTGATCATACAGCCTCGTACCATCTACTTGGATCATACGTTTGCAAAATGGAAATCCTTCAATACATGCCTTGAATGCCCAAAATAGTCTATGAAATATTTTCTTCCCTGTCATAAGTTGACATTCTTCGTCATATGCGGCCATGGTTTGAGATTTCACTATGGTTTCTGGGATAGCTTGTAGCAAATGTGGTAGCCCATTGTACGGTGTATCCCAATCTCCATATGTAAGCTTCATTGCCTTCATCTTCGCATTCCACACCTTGCCATATTTTACTTGATATCCAAATTGGCTTCGAATAGATGCAGCTAACACTGAACAAGATATCCTTGGATCCTTTTCAACCATCGCATTAACGTATTTTCATATTACATCGGAGTCCAATAGTTAGTGGTCTTGTTCGATGGAGTTTCGCAAACATGTGTGCTGACCATTGTACCTCGTGATGACCCAAACATCGTGCCTTTGATTTTTCGACACTTTGATCTTCCACTTGCACTCTGGGCCATATTTTACACACTTCGCGTATAGGTTTTCTGGTTGGACTCTGCAACATGGACATCAATATGGCATTTGATGCAGTACTCTTTAATCGCTAGGGTAGCTTCATTTTTCCTTTAAATTGAACCCCAACTGAAAATTCACCAGAATTATCGAATGATTCAGTCATTTGGTACGGAGATAAATGTGGCATGTCTGGGAATTCAGGTGCCCTCATTGCATCATAGTCTATCTCGTACATGTGAGAAGTAGCTTCATACGGTACAGAACTTCATCAATTGTACCTCCACCGAAAATATTTTCATCGTCGCCCAAAACAGGTTCTTCAGTTTCTTCATCTTCGCTTGAATCATCATGAATTTCTCCCTATCGATTTTCAGCATCAATATCAACAACCAATTCTGGTGTGTTTCTCGTCTTATACTCTGCTGCTGCAGATGTCCATTCGAATTCATTTACACTTTCCAATAGTGCCATAAAACTGTTCGGAAACCTGTATGTCGGCTTCTCAAACTGACTATATAAAGCCATTTCAGATGGATTTTGAGCCACACCTCTTGATGACCCAGGAACATCACGTATGTTACGCACATCAACAAATAACTCAATAACTGTTATATTGGTTGACTCATGTAATCCAACCATGGTTCTAATATCATCATCTTCTTCAAGTGGAACTGCAGCATATCTGACTGACGAAGGGGATGAGCAAAACAGGGAGTCTACTGGACGGGGTTCAACTAGCGGAGACTCTTGGAACAGCTGGAGTAAGAGGTCCCCAAGTGAGCGTATTATGGAGGACCGTCAAGCACATTCGGAAAGAAGAAAGGGGGATCTCGTTGTTGCATAGCTCAGGTCGGAGCAACGCGCCATCGAACGTTCAACAGGCAGTCTCACGATCGGGCATGAGTGTCCCGAAGTTGTCATTGTATACTCCCGAGGCATATCATAAACCTATACCTCAAACCATCAACTACAGCTCAAATTTTTCTTTCTATCTTATGTTTCATTTCTATAAATGTGATATCTTTTTTGAACATCATATTTATTGGTTTTTCAGACTGAAAAACTACTCCGACCTCATTTTCCATAATTTGAACATTATAATGGACAATCGTGAAAAAGTTGTTACTCATTTTCTCTACAAATAAAAAAATCAATAAATTTAGATTAAAAAATTATATAAGATAATTTCATAAATCATTAAATAATTAAATATAATATAATATACTATTATATTAACGATCAAATAAAATTTGTTATTTAACTTGATTGTTTGATTACTAATATTACTAATAATGATTTAATAATTATTATTAATCTAATGATTTGATATTTAATGATTTAATAATAATATGATTTAGTAATGATTACTAATAATTATTTATTATAAATATTTAATGATTTATATTTGATACTAATCATTTAATAATGACTACTAATAATAATAATATTAGTTTGATAATATTTTTTAAAATATCAAAACACATTTGTTAGGCAAAACTGTCGAGAAAATGTTCTCGAAATAATTATTTCACGAGATAATGCGTTGGCCAGATTATTTCATTCAATTAATTTTTACTCCTTACTAATTTACACATATAATATAAATTAAACAAAACATTTTTAAAAAAAAACACTAAATATTTTTAAACACAATATTTTTTTAAACGGAAATTATCTCGCACAAATTATCTAATATAAACTTACTAACTAACTAATTAACACATACACAACAACTAAAAATGGACAACAAAAAATAATAAATTACCCGCGTATTTGTGCCTTCTTACTTTCCTTTCTTTTCCTTTCTTGTTTCTTTCTTCGAATCAATCTGTACGTAGGCAAATGTTGTGGAATAATGTCCTGTACGTTTAAACAAAATATTTCTTTAAACAACAATAAATTAAACAAATTAGTTTTATATAATCTAATATATTATAATATAACTTAAACTAATAAACTATTTCTTTATTATAATATAACTTAGTTAAAATAACAAACTAACAAACTAATTAAGCACTAATTAATTTTTTTATAATATAACTTCAACAAACAACCTAATATACGTTTAAAGATACTAACAAATTAATTAATTTTTTTATATTTAATAACTTAAACTAATAAACTAATTAACTAATTTTTTATATAATATAATATATAACTTAAACTAACAAACTACTATAATATAACTTAAACTAACAAACTAATAATTTATACTAACAAACTAATTAACTAAATTTTAGTTTTACCCTAAACCCTAAGCTAACAAACTAATAATTTCATATAATAAACTAAATTAAACAATAAAAAATTACCTCAAAAAAAGAATGTTTGAGCCTTTATCTTCTTTTCTTCTTTTTTCCTTTTCTTTCTCTCGATAAAGTTTCTATATGTGCTCTGCTTCTGCTTCTGCTTACCCTAAACCCCCTTATCCTCTATATAAAGAAAATGAGCGTTGGAGAGCATCATTAAATTTGACTGTTGGAGCAAATAATATTGAGCATTGAATCGTGTAACTATTGAGCGTTGAAAGGCTACAATTCAATAGCAATATTTGATGCATTTAACAGCTAAACTAACGCTGCAATAATGCATCTATGGATGCAGGAATCTCTCATGTATGGATGCAACGCATGCATGAGGGAACAGAGGGTTAAAGCTTGGCTGCAATCTCCCAGCTTTGGATGCAGGAATCTTCCAGATATGGATGCAACGCATGCACGAGGGAGCAGGGTTAAGTTTGGTCGCCGGGCGTGCATGGCGACCTACCATGTCGCCGGGACTGCTTGGCGACCTACACAAAGAAAATTCGACGTGCATGGGCCATGTACTGCTCCCTGGATAGCTCACACTCACTCCTTGGTGCTCCATGGATAGCTCGCACTCCGGGCGACCAAGGAGTTGGTCGCCCGGAGTGCATGGCGACTTCCTTGGTCGCCCGGAGTGCATGACGACCTACGGCCAACACTGTGGATTTCACCCTATTTCAGCAAATAATATGTCCGAAACATTATATCGTGAAATAAAAATTTAGAGAACATTATCTCGTGGAATCCGCCGGTTGGATCAAGATAAGTTAAATTAATTTATTTTTATTCAAATTAAGTCATATAAATCGTTAAATATTATTAAATAAAATTTATTTTTATCAACTTATAAATTAAAACATAAAAAATAAATAATACATTTTCTAATGTAAATTAAAAGAATAGTTAGGACATTTCCATTATATAAAATACAAATCCTTAAATATGTTTTTCATCATAAATTGCCAATCTTTATATGAATTAGATCCATTGCAGTATGATATATAATATATGATCATAATGATCAAACTTGAAAGTAGATAAGCTAAAAGCAAAAGGAACAAGTTTAGCTTCTTGTTTAGTCCCAAAGATTGCATTCTTTTACTAAAACAAAGAATACATAAAATTAGAAAGAAACATCCCCAAATAAAGTAACCAAAAGATTAGCAAAAGGAAGGCCCCCACCCCCCCATATTGCAAAAATCACATTCTCTCCTTAAATTAACTAGAAAAATTAAAGAAAGCAGATTCTTGGCAGTGTCCCTTCCCCACCTAATATATCTAAACCCAAAGTACAAATTAAATCATAGGCAAATCTAGAAAGAAACAACAGACGATTGCCCCCTTTCGATATGTCACTACCCCAAAGTACAATGGCTCTCCCTAAACCCTAAGCTTTTTATCCTAAACCATAAGATCGCATACAATCTTTATCCTACTGTGCACCAAAATCCCATAGATGTATCCTCGTGTCACTACCCGCTGCTGCAACGTGCGTATCATCTGCCACCATGGCGTTAACACCCCCTACATTCTCATTCAGACTATACAACGAGCGACCCTGCTCTATTTCCCACACCCTTATTACACCACCGGCGCACATTAGCGCGTACCCTAGGTTCATGCAACCCATGATGTTGACGTTCCTCTGCCTTGTGTTGAATCGGCACACCTCATCCAATGTATCCACCCGGCGGACGATTGCCAACCCACGGTTATCCACCATGATGAACGCCTCGCTGTTGGTGTCGAACGACGTCACTGTGATTCCTGTCCTGCACTCCCGGTCGTGTAATGGAAACTCCGGGTTTCTCAATCCCAGAACCAGGTACCTTAAACCCGTGCATGCAACCGCCGATTCCTGACTCGTCACCCTAACTCGGCCGATGGTGTCAGTAAACTCGGTCAACGTGTGCCATCCTATTACGGCTTCTGGGTCGGTCAGGTTTGTGTTTACGTAGACTAACTCTTCAGTGTTACCGTCCCAAACGTGGATAGCACGATCCGGAACGCCTGCGTAAAGGCCCACCCACCAGCGCCCGCATCCGGTGAAGTCCACCAATGCACCGTCGTTCACGACGTTCCCCAAATGGGCCGTGCGAGCAAGGGGCTCTCCGTCTATGATCGCCACGTGGATGTCACCATCCAAAGTGGCGAAAATGATTCTTGGGTCCGTTACGATAATGCCGGATACGGCACGTGAGAAGCGACCGAAACGATCGCGGGGGTGAGAGTGGAAGGTACCGACGTGCTGACGGGTGGCGAGATGGAAAAATCTTACGACACCATCGGCGAATCCACAAGCGAGGTGAGTGTCAGACAAGGTGAGACAACGGCACGACAACCCATCGGGATTGTCTACGCCGGATAAATCAAAGTGGAGGGTATCGTAAATTGATCTCCCAGCACGAAAATTTTGAGCCGTTCGATGACGGTACGTGTATTCCTCACGCCACGAGTCGTGCATACGACGGTTCCGTCCCCATATAACGCCTGTGAGACGTTGCCATAATGGATCAGATCGAGACACAGCTTGCCACGTGGAACAAACCTGCATATCATTCCACGTCAAGAAAGCAAAAGAGAAAATGAGTACAAATTATGAGTCATGCCACGTCAAATCTGTAAAAAGTTTAGGGTTACAACTTGCAAAAAGAAAGGCAGAAATAATGAGAAACTAAAAAAAAGGCAAAAAACGTGCAAGAAAATTTGATAAAACTACTGAACAAGAAAAGGAGAAAATTACGCAAAAGGTAATATAATAATTAAAATTGGCTATAGCTCTAGTAAAGAATGGTAGATGAAACAGCAGCCTGTATAGAAGAAAAAAGGTTTCAGTTAACAATTGGATCAACCATGACATGGGGGATAAAACGCTTGTATTATTTTAATAACGACGCCAGAGTCGAAGCTGAGCAGTGATAGACTAGGCACAGGCAATATAGAGAGAAAGAGAGTTGTTTTTCGAGGTTCAGATGTCAGGGGGGGTGAAGCCAGACCTGTGACGATTATCGTTTTGTTTTTGACAATTTGGTTCCTGTTTTCCCATATTTCGAAGATATCAGCTTGCGTTGAATCAATTTGTCTTGTAGCATGTAGTTGTATTAGTAGTAGAAAATTTAAGACACAATCTAGTAACCTACAGCATGAAGAGGGTGACAGCTTTCTTCCTTTCAAACTTGCCCTATTTTCCCCTTGGTTTCGATTTAGCTGTGTGCTGCAACAAGGCCGAATACATCTTCGGGTTGGAACACGAAAATGAAGTTGAAATAGACATTTTTTTATAACTTGTTTATCAGAGTTAAAAGAGAGGAAAGGAAAAGGGCAAGGGAGACTAGCTGTGGTCCATAAAACAACATATAAAATCATAATATAAGATCGGCATTGGCAACTTTCAAGCGTGCCCATATGATAATAAGAATCGAGCTTCTATTTCATTTCCAAGAAAGGATTGGCCGAAGGACTGTCTCGTTAAAAAGCAAAGAACCAAAATAATCTTACCTTTTTCCTGCTATTTCTTTGACTCCATACTCCTAGTATTGTACATTATATATTATATATAATGTTTCGAGTTGCTGCCATTCGGGAGGCCCATACATATGATAATTTAAGCGAATAGGCTCCATGACCTTTTTGCCTTTCGGCATTCGCAGCACATGCTGGCTTTTGACTCATATTCTCATCCTTTAATAGTTAAAGAAACATAATGAAAGCCTTAAGCAAAGCTTTGAATCACATATTTCTTTATTTTTCTGGACATGCTCCAGCATTAAAGCTTATTATGACTTGACTGTGCTGATAATCTGCACAAGCGCCTGATCTCTCGTATGACAGAAAATGACAGACATTAATAGTTATTACTGAAATACCAGATTGAACCATGAAGCGCTGACAATGCTGCAAACTAGGGGGGAGAGAGAGTGCAGTACCTAGACCTAAAGGCTAAAACCTCAAATACTATATTATATAAAAGAAGAAGAAGAAGAAGAAGACACAGTTCCCATGTGTCAATGAAGTTTCGGGCATATCCAATGCTAACAAAATATGGAAATGTTACGACTTCACTTGAGCAAGCTCAGAGACATACAAAGTAGAAGGGACCATCCCTTAAATCATGCTAAAATGCTAGAAGGGGTAGGTCTCAAAGGTCTCTTACTTCAATTTAGCATTAGGAAAGAATCCCATGGATATTGTACCAGCTGATGACTAAAACAAAGGTGGGTCAATAAAGTTGGAACGATTTTTCCCAGACCTTTAAAAAGGGTCATGATGCATAAAAACTACATCATCCCGAAAGGGACAAACTTGTGAGAAAAATGGACCCATCGGAAGTCAGTTCCCTTATCTAAGGCAGTTTCCCCCTTGGATGCTACCACTGCTGCATCCAAGATTTGACAGTATAAATCTGGATTCACTCTGGACTCTTTTTCAGTCAATGGAATTTCTCAAGTAGAGGGGGAAAAAGGGAAAATGTCTTTAATATCTGGGTGCCATAATCTGAAATAATATCAGCACATTTTCAGGGTTCAAACGATATTTTTGACCAGAATAAGATTTTGTCATTTATCAAAAACTTGGCTATCTTCCTCCTAATGCCATCCCAATGCCGTGAAGATTGAATAATAATAAAAAAAACGATCAAGAATACCCCAATTCAAACAATTCTATTCTTGTTAAAATCAACCAGGGCAAAAGGTAAAAACGAAAAAAAACCCTACCTGAAACACATTGGCAAGTGCTGCAGCAGCTGCGAGGCGGCCTAGAGAACGAGAAGCATCAATGGCAACTTGGACAACAAGATCTTCAACAAAGGGACCCGGCCATATTTCGTTATTGGAGCGTCTACGAGTCAAAGATGGGGCTCCAAAATCACCACCACTTCTTCTTGCTCTACTGCCATTGCCATCTTCAGAAGAAGAAGAAGACATGGATGGTGAGTGGAGAAGCTATAAAGGGAGAGGAAAGAAATGGGAAACAAGGACAAAAAGTTTTAGATAAAGATACGAACTGAGGGCCCCAAAAGAAGGTGTTGGGATTCTTGGATTTTTATACTATAATTTCGTAACTCCATTTGTACACTACGATCAATGCAAAAGTATATCTACACACAGGTACATGTACTGGAAAGTGATTATTTATAAAGAAGGTCGAAGGCGTGTTTTGATTCAGTAGAAAGAGGAGGCACCTCGGATTTTCAAACACACCTGCACTCAGCTCAATTACTAGCGTGGTTTGAAAAAGCTGATTGCATTTTCATTTGTGACTTGATCATGTATTTACTATAATATGTTTCATTAATGAATCTCAGAATGAAGCATACTTTAAATTGCTGGTATTGTACTTGATGATAATATATACTCGTCAGTATGAAAAAAAGCAGAATCTGCTGGATATAGGCTTCGGCAAGGGTGAATACCACTTGGTAGGGCTCCCCCACCACCATTTCTTTGTGAAGCATCTCTCTCACTTTATTACTCCATTTCATGAAATTGTATATACGTCCAATCCTAGTCACTGATATAATAATAAATATTTTACATTTTTTAATATAAATTTAAATAATAAATCGTTGTTAATCTTAAATTTTAAATTTAAATTAAAAAATATGTATCCCCTTATCTCTTATAAAAATTTATGATGAAACTTTGTGATTATGTATTTTTTAAATTTTGTAAAATCATGATTTTTTTCCAGATAGACAGGATTTCCAGTTTAAGACTATGTTGGCATCCAATAATATTCTAAACCCAGATTAATGTTAATTTATAATAAAACGTATGTTATTCTAAAATCAGAATTTATTTTCTGAAACCCAAATTTCTAAATATTGTTTAAGTGAATTTATCAATCGTTTTAACAAAGGGAGGAGTGAAGGATAGTCCAAAAATCAAATCCAATTTGCGTGTCGACTAAAATTTCACTTTAATGAAAGTTATTTTATCATTGCGCCGCAAACTATTAATTTATACTTAATAAATATATTATTTTACTCAATTACGAGGTTTATAAGATAATTTATCCAATTAAAAAAGAGAGATAACGTATCCAATTGGGGCACCGACGTGTTTATCCAAAGAACGTCAAATCGTCGTTCTTTATTCATCAAGCCTGATAGGAAAGTTACATAAGAATATTTTAAAATTTTTAATTGAATCAATATTTAATAAATTTGTGACATTAAATTAATTAAATATATTAAGATAATATACATATCATTAATCATCCATATTATATAATTTCTAATATGTTGATCTATTTGTTTTATGCAATGTTATTAAAATCGGACCGGATCGACCGGTTCGACCGGTTAAACCGTGAACCGGTGGTCTGTCCGGTCCGATTAACTCCCATAATCGAATTAGCATAGAACCGGTAGAATCGGCTGAAAATCGAGAAAATCGGGGTGAACCGACTGAAAACCGGCAAAACCAGTTTGAACTGTCGGTTCACTTTTTTTCTTTAAAAAAAAATTTAAACCAAACCACGTCGTTTGTTCAACGAGCCGAGTCAAATTCAAGTATTGTTGAGCTCGACTCGAACTCGAAAACTTTAAAAGTAAGCTCAACTCGACTCAAAAACTCACGAGCTAACAATTATCAAATCGAAATATAATATAAAAACTTGAAATCGAAAAGGCTCGAATTCAAAAAAAAATTAGAAGTTCGATTGAAGCCTAAAATTTGAGCTCAATTGAAGCGAAAGAATAGTTCACTTTGTGCTCACCAAAAGGCTCCATGATTTTGAATGTCAAATTACCTCTATTATTTATAGAAGTAAGTTGGGATGCTCTTCTATATTTCTTAGCTATGTGAGATTGTTTTGTTCTCATATTTTTACTCTTTAAACTTTTAGGATACTCTTCTATGTTTCTTAGCCATGTGAGATTTTTTTTTAAACAATTAAACCAAATAACATCATTTATTATGATTTTTTTAAACCCCAATTTTATTTTTTTGATTATAGTTATATAATTATATTTATTATTTAATATGTTTTACCTTAAATATTATATTGTAGTTGATTTAAATCATTTTGTTTCACTAGATTTTATGGTTTTTCATTTATACATGTTATGACTTGTAATATTTTTATACCTTTTAATATTGTAAACTTAAAAAAAGTGTTACATATATATTAATATTATTTTGAATATTATGTAAAATTAAAAAAATATATTATTTTATATAAAATTAGGTTCAACTGCGATTGAACTCGGTTGAACCAGTGAATCAGTACCTTCACCGATTTAATGTCCGGTCCGATTTTAAAAACATCGGTTTTATGTTAATATTATATTTATATTATCATATTTTAAACTTGAGTATAGAAATGAATTAACCTAAAAGCCGAAAGAACAAAGTTATGCTTTTTGACCAGAAGAGGCCAATCAAATCGAGGCTGAGACAGTGATACGATAGGGGTGTCATGCTTATGTCTTTTCAACCATTCTCCATAGAATAATAATTACTCTGCAACTTAACGTAAAGCAAATCCATAAATTTTAATTAAAAAGAATATATTTCCGACTCATTATCATTAATAAATAAGAGCATTCTTAGAATATGAATTATTAAAATGATATATTAACAATGTTTTTTTATTATTTTGTTGGGTTAGCTGGGCTTGGCTGCCTCGTCTCGGGTTTTGGTTGGGCCTCTAAGAGTTTGAAAAATCGTGTTAGAGCTTTTGTATCCCCAAAAAAAACAACCAAATGCATAAGAGTAAGAAGGGATTGTCTATTATCAAATCTAGAATTTGATATCAACTGAAATTTTATTTTAATTGAATCGTTATTCTTTTAATCCGCGATATTTAGTATTTTTATAAACCTAATAACATATGCTGTATCGATCAAGCTAAACATGCATGGATTCGTATCCTAAATTTATAAACTCTAAATCAGTTGACAATAAATATTTAAACGCTCATGTTGTGCTTAACTCAAAATTTTTAAGGATAACAATTATTCTTTTAACTACCGAAATCATTTGATTCATATTTTTATTTTATTTTTAAATGTAACTTTTGTATAAAAGTAGTTAAAAAGATTTCATATCCTTTTTAAGTTGGTATCGATTGACAGCCGTGAAAATTAATTTTGTTAACCATCCATATTAAAGAACGGCGGTTAAAATAATTTAAGATTTGCAAGTAGTTTTGTAGTAGAAAAATTAACGAAGTCACTGAAGCTAATGGCGTTACATAGAGACCTACCCCCAGGAAGGCCAAATTTAAAGACCTAACTTCCATAGAAATTGCCATTTTATCTAAAACAATTGGCAGTTAAATGAACTACTCTTTCTGTTATTAAAATCGTCTCTGGTCATAACTTGTATGCAACTCAACATCATTAATTTTCTCATTGAATACCCTAAAATGTAGTTACTATATAGATGTATGAACTAATTAATATTTATAAAGTTTGGAGTTTAATATAAGTTTGTATTGCGATAGTCATTAATTTGCGCTTAGTATAAGTTTTAGAAATACAAATTCTTTATGGATTATGATTATTAATTTATCTCTCTAACGTCACAGTTAAAGTTAGGATTCCACCAGATGTCATTGTACTAAATTAAAAGAACACTAACTAAGAAGGATATGCATTTTCATTTTTTAAACATTCAATTCATTTCACATGTATATATATGTGTGTGTTCATATTAAAAGAACATTTTGGTTAGTATTGAGTTGATATAGAGTTTGGATCACAACACTTTCAAGGGTAGAAAAGTCAACAAAACATAGAATCTAATTATAGCTATCAATATCGGCATTAAAAACTTTGCTTATGTTATACTGTCTCTTCATAAATGCTACGTGGAAGACAAAACAATGGTGGTAGGATATTATTAATTCACAAGATAAGGGAGATGTAGATTAAAGTTTAAATATAGTTGATTCTAGGATATTATTGTAATTTATAATATGATTGTTTAAATATATGATCAATTATCTTTAAAGTAAATAGTTAAAAATCCTCGGTTGTTATTTTTTTTAAAAAAAATTATAGTTTAATATTTATCAAAAATAAAAATTATTATTTATTATGTTATTCATATTTATATATTTGTCTTATATTTTAATTCTTATTATCTATTTTAAGTTTTATAACGAATTTTGTTCTATTGTATGCTTGCTATGAAATACTCTTGAATTTCTCTCTTCTATATAAAGTATATAAATGAATTTCATGTAATTTTAAGAATTGTAGGAAGAACTGCCCCTCCAACTTCCTCACAACACAGACAAATTCGAAATCTCAGTACGAAACCCTTCTCTGAAAATTATAAGTCCTAAACACATAAATTCGTACATTCTTTAAATAAACACACAAATTTATAAATTATTTGAATAAAGATAAAGAAACTGACTTCTAATTTCCATCTCCAGTTACAGAGAATATAATCAAATTTCACTTGAAGTCCATAAAAATGAACTTACCTTTCGTTAATAACCTGTTACAAATTATCATTTAAGATACTATTAGCTACTTTGGAATATAAAAGGCATGACGAACTAATCTGTGCCATAATTCATTTTTTTTTTAACTTGATTATTTCTTAAATTTTAACAATTATAAATACAATTTAATAAAATTAATAACATCGACAACAGCTCTCAACTTTAATTATCTTTTCCATATACAGCTCTTTCTGGCTTTATCAATAACATGTGGAAAGGTAAAACTTTTTGGCGCGTACTCATATAATCAAGCTGCCTAAAAAAAACCTTCTCTTTCTATAATATCTTTAATAAGTTAACCAATGAAATAATAATTTAATTTATTTTAACAATATATATTATATTTGATGTAATTTCACAGAACTTTTATCGCAGACACGATTATATGAGTCAAACATATTGAATAGACAAATAATTTATTTTTTGGGACAAATCTAATACAACACAAATCATAGACTACCCCCCCCCCTACGTAATTTCGTTGAGAAGAGGGGGTGATTTCCAGGAATTGGTCCCCCTACTATTTTCTATATAAATTTATTTTATATTTTGAAACCCTCTTTTTATATAAAGCTATTGCATCATCTCCCTCTAGACAATGTCATAATCTAGTATCCAAAAGCTACCTCTCATTCTATATTCGCTATTAAAGATCTTCAAACCCTTTCTCATAGCTGAACTGAGAAGAGAGAAGCAATGGAGATTATGAACAAAAACCAAAGAATTCAGGCACCAATTCAATCGATCAGCCTGAAGCTTGTCACCAAAATTTTGCTCCCGTTTTCACTTCTTTCTGCAATATTATCATACCCTTTGTTGTGCAACTTCCAAACTTTGGCATATAGTTTACAGCTCTTCAGTTTCAGTGTCGGCAAGACTTACATGTTTGTGCTTTGCAATGGACTTATTTTTTTCATTGCCACCGGCTCTGGTTTGATCGGTAGTTTTGCGGTAGAGTCTGATGTTAAAGCCGACAAGATTGCGAGGATCAGTGAGGGAGGTAGTCGAAGAGAATTAGAGGTTGAATCATCAGAGCCAAAGAAAGCAGAAGTTGACCAGAGAGAAGAACTGCCCTTGGTTGTAGAAGAAGAAAGATGGAATGAGCTTGTTTCAGTCGACGAAGATGAAGATGAAGCACTTGAGTTGATGAGTAATGAAGAGTTAAACAAGAAATGTGATGATTTTATTAGGAGAATTAAAGAAGGGATTAAATTTGAAGCTCGCAACTGATGACGGTTCAAAAAGTAGAATTTGACACAACATTAAGGACTCTAGGCATCAACTATGCTTATAGTTATAGATCTGTAACTTGTTTTTCTTTCTTTTTCTTGTCTCCTGAAAGCCCCCAACTTGGACTATAATTCGGTTCCCCTGTTTTTCCTTTTCCTCGGAAATTTGATTTCTGAGTTTTAGCTTGACACTGTTGGTTACTGTAAATTAATCCTTGTTTTGAAGTTGTTTTTGACGCAAATAATAATAATGTAATGGCATTTGATAGTAATCATATAACTAAGTTTTAGTAAATTAAATGTTGTTACTTTAAAATCAAAGGAAGCGACCAAGCAATTGCTCCATTGACTTCAAGTCATCCAAAAGAGGACAATATAAAGTTCAAACTTTAAAATACTGACCAAAATTTTGTCAGCGATCACTTCCATGAAAGTTCAAAGTTTGATTTTTATTTTTCTGTTATAATCACTTTCCAAGAGATTATTTCACAAACAAGGACAAGCTCCAGGTAGATTAGAAGATTCAGAATACCTTGAGAGATTATTTGATATCTTAACCATAAAAATGTATTTGTCTCCTTGTTCATATTTCTGATATTCCTCCATATCCCATAGAGGATTAGTGCTTATTTCACATATCACAATGAGCTACCCAGCATTGTTGCATCTGAAAATGGAACAAAAAGAAAGAGACCATTCAACTTTCCCCCCCCCCCTCTCAAACAGCTTTTCTCCTTTTGCAACACCTATATGCAGAGGGATGGACAGTTGGCGGGACAGTGGATTCCTGAAAATTTAAATTCTTATATAATTTTTTTACTTTCTATTAATAATATATTTTCACCCTTAAAATTTTATAAATTTATCCCTTATATAAAATATTGTATTTGTCGCTATTTATATGCGGTGTCTAATGGCCCCATCGGAAGCTGCAGGATAGCAAGGCATCTATTTGTCAAGAAAGAAAAAGGCAAGCCTTTTTTGCCTTTTGCACATGCACTACACACTAATTAGAAGAACAAATGTGAACAATAAAACCAGTACTGACTCTCAATTGGCTTGGGTTCCCTTGAGCCCCAACAGTTCAAAATATGGTAAATTAACAGTAAGGATAGTGGCAGACAGGATCTTTGCCGTGCTTGACCTGCTCCAGTCTTCAGACCCCACGACTAGATCTGGTCCTCTATGGTTACCAAACGTAGACGCTGTGAAATCAAATGGTTCATTTGACTACTCACTTCAGACAAGTACAATGTTTACCTATGTTACCCTGAATCAAAGTGCACGTCACATAAACGTATGTTTCCAACACCAGCATACTTTAGAGATTATGCTCTTATGTTTTAATATGTGTCGGATAGGCATACTTAGAGAACCTAAAGAATATGGTGTTAACAATTTTTTTTAATAATATGAGGTAAGTAGAAGGTAGTATCTGTTCAAGGATAACTCTCAACCATTTGATATTGAACGTTCATACATCTGACATTGTTGGTGCTCAAACCTGGTGTTAACAATTTTTATGACATCATTTAGTAAGTTTATGACCAATATAAACTCCTTATCATCAGTAGTTTGATTGAAAAATTAGAAATTTCATGTATTTATACTTTTGTGATCTATATGTTTTTATTATATTATTATTTCTCTCTTGCTAAAGTTGAAGTAGACAAAGTCAAACCACATTAAATTTTATCTTTTATATGTATTTTTTTATGTTGATATCACGTCTATTAGTTTTTCAAATTTCTTAACATACAAGATCATACAAGGTTAGATTGGTTCTTAATTGCTGTTTTCTTTATTATTATGGATGTGAAGCCTCTTAATGTTGATACTTTTATCCATGAAACTAGCACTTAATGAATGTGTTGTTCCAGAGAAGCAACTTTCGATAAAATAACTTGCAGCAAAACAACTTTTTTAAATATTCTGGATTACTTTTGATATGCATACTGTATCATTCATGGCGGCAACTTCAGAAAAACTTTGAAGAGATAAACATTGATCCAGCATTAAGAAAACGACAACATAAAAATTAAACAATAACTGGTAACCAGTTAGCTCAATTTATTGGTCCATAATTTCCTGCTCAAATACCATCCCAAATCAAGTAAAAAAGAACTACCCGTTCAATGATTTGCTCATAGTTCTTCCATTTTTAGTTTCAGAAATCTATACGGGGATGGAACAAAATATGGACATTACTTCCTCTTGCTTCCTTCTCATGTTCTACTTTCTATAATCAGTTTCTTTTCTTTCATTATTATCCAACACCACCCAATTCTCATCAGAACCAACAAAAAATCTGCAAATTTCAGGCAAAAACAACATTACAAACAATTTTTGCAGACTGATTTCCAGGTAAATCTAGAGTAAGAAAAAATGATATTTGATTCGTGCAAGTTGTTTCCTCCACTGTAAATTCAAATACAGCAAAGATACCAATCACGCAGGAGTTACTGATTCTTTTAAGATACCAATCGCGCAGAAGAAAGAAGAGACAAGAAACGAAGGGAAACATAACCTGATGCCCTAGGAAAAAGGTGTTTTATTTCTGCTTTCCAGACTAAAACAGTGCATTCATCTCAGGAAAAATAAGTAGATATTAAAGAGCAACCAGGTGGCTACCGGAAAAGTATGAACTTGTTTGAATACGTATGGCACAACAGAATGAGCAGTCCATGGACAAAACAGCAGGTTTTAGAAGGAGGTTTTCTCAGAAAGGTAGGGCCCGGGACTGCATCAAATCCCAGCACATGATGTTGATATAGTTTATAGCATTTTGTTCTCCTATTTCAGTGAGTGACGTGTCAATTCCCTTTTGCCAGCATCTATCTGTAAATACATTCAGCATAATACATGGATATGATAAGATTTTTCCAAGTTCTCCTATATACATTCAGCATCTATCTTCGTAGGTCATATCCCCATATCCATGTGTGGGATGCTGGACTACTGGTACTTCAAGAACAATGAAAAGTTCAAACAACATAGGTTTCAACACTTTGACCTAAAGCGTTATGGCCTCAGCTTCAAACAGGTTCAACTAGAATAGAAGTAAAGACCTAACGAATTTCAATATCTAGAAGGAAAATAAAGTTCAAATAGCTCACTAACTGTTTCATACTAAACCTTTAATAGAATGTTCATAGAACACACACATAGATATCCTCGTTCTCCGTACCAGGATCAAGAACAGAAAATGTCAGAAGGATACATGCGTGCATGACAGATCATAGCCAGGCCGTATGTTTGTATGCATGCAGATACACTTTCTTGTCTTAATTTTTTACCCAACCTTCGAAAGTCATATAATGTTGGAACATAAATGAATGAAACAAACATATTGTACTAGGTTTTCTTCAATCCTCTCATCAAATACAACATTCTCAGTCTCTAACCATTCCAACTCCTAACTAAATTGTCCATAGCAAGTAGATAATCATTATTCATTCTAACAAGTCATATCTTTGTCATCCACTCAAAAAGTTCAATAGCCTATTTCAGAGGTCAGAGATGCAGAAAAGTGCATGGCACAGAAACTAAAACAGCTTGAACATTAAAATGCAGGCAATCATCAACAGTATCTAGGTTTTTGGGGCTAACAGAACCCTGTAAATTTTCAGTAAGACCTCAACGAACCTCAAGGAAACATCATCTGAAGTTCTTTGAAGCAAGTAATTTTTCCACTCAATTCCATTTACAGCATTAGATTGAGTCAATTCAACTTACCTAATTTCATCATTCTATATCATATCTACATGTAAGTCATATATCCTGTCAACCACCAATATGTACCAAATTGCTCTGTGAACATACACTAAAGTTTCTCAGGTCAACCAACTAATATTGTGCAAGAAACAAGATGACTAAATCATTGACGAAAATATCGTCGGCTTATGGAAAACATATGTTAAACATCAATTATGTTTTATTAAAAATTTGGTTTAAATAGGTTTGTATGACCGTATCTTAACAGGTGCAGGAAGGATAACTTACGGCCAATAATCTTGCAAAGATATTGAGTGATCTATATTGTTGGGCAATACAACGATTTACAGTCTATGGGAAGATGTAAATAAGGCATTTTTTACTTTGAACATGCACAAAAGCAGGTGCCATGCAGACTCATCCAGACAAAGGTATCAACAAAATAACATAGAAGTAGCCAGAAAATTCTGCATGCCGACTAACTTACAAAGCAATATAAGCTCAAAAGGGATCCACTACTGTCAGCATAAAATATTGCTCAAAGTAGCCATAAAGCTATCTACCAACTCCCAGCATAAAAATATGGTTTCTTTGCAGCAAAATTGGAGAAATAATAAAAAAAAGTTGTCAATGGTACAAAATTATAGCAACTTCTTATACATGCATTTCCCCGAACTATTGAAGAAAAAATAATCTAGGTCCCACCTGTTACAACAGTGGGAAAAATGAGATGCTGAAGTCTCAACTCATGAAAGCTGAATGAGAAGTGTTTTACTAGTGGTACATTTGAGCAAAATTCAAGCACAATTGATGATCTCTATTATCACCCCAGCCGCCCCAACCCTTAAACCCAGCTTTGTACCCCTGTTGGTTCTCATATACCTCTACATCCCATTCTGATCTGATGTTAGCAACCTTATCAATGTCATCTACTTGAATGTTCACTGATCCATTATCAATGCAAGCATTACTATTCCCTTGGCCCTGATGCAAACCACACTTCCCAAAGTGAACTGCACTAGTCCTTGGACCTCGTAAGGTGTACACTGGGCTGCCGAACGAAGGATATACGGTTGCCCACATTGTTATATCCCAATTGTAATCGTCAAAGAAGCAGAACTCTTTAGCTTTCATATGGATTTTTCTCCAAACAGTCCGGTTGAAGGCATAGCCCACATTTCCCATTCTCTCTGCAATCAAACTATCCCATCCTTCTCCTCTTAAATTCACATCACAAGGTGCCAGATTAGCAGCATAGCAATCTGGGCATTTGTTAGGCTTCAGTGATACAAGAAGCTGCAAGTTGCGATATGCATTGGGGAAAATAAAGTGGTCCTCCTCTATGAAAAGAATATGCCCATCACGCCCTCTGGTCTCCTTCAATCTATCCCACACAGTGTTCATCATCCACCACCAGTGATGCTTCAAAGAAACTATCTGTGGAGACCGGTGGTTTCCATACTGATCTGGATTCCCAATACAATGTTTTCTCCCTGCATCATCCTTTTCTTTGCAGTCATTTGGTGATACACCGGGAAAACTGCCAGTAAACACATGGGGCGAATAAGGAGCAAAGATCTGCTTCACTTGGCAAAATTTGATCCCTTCCACAATCTTATTCATTTCTTCGATGTATCCATCATGACTGACTATTAATAAAGTTTCACTTATCCCCACAACCTTAGACAAGCTCTTAACAACTACTTTAAGATATTGAGGCCGGTTATGAACGTATAAAACAATGGTTATATGATCTTTGGCTAACTTTGGATATAGATCTATATTCATAGGGGGCAATCGGTTTCGTTCCTCCAGTCGAATTGAAAATTCATTCCGTTTAGGAAGGTAGAGTTTTTCAATAAAGCTCTGAATATTAACACTTTCACTTAAACCAGGCGTTGTATTGGTCCTAAGAGAAACTATCAAAAGTGAAACAACTAATAAAGTAACTAAAACTACACACAGGAAACGTTTGAAAGCTGCATTTTTGAGACGGAGATTCTTGTAATTAGCCATAGAAAAAAAAAACACAGCCAATATCAACCAACTTGCAAGTCAAATGTTTGCTCTCTCCAGAAACAAGTATCAGAAATGCGAAAATAAAAATTCACATTCATAGACAACCGATCCGCAAAGAGTAACAGCAACCCATTTTAGAAGAAGGTGAACAAGTAAAAGGTTAAGTGCCAAAAACCTCAAAGAACAATTCTTTAACGTTGAGCTCTCCCCTTGCCGCCACTGGAATCAGTGGTTTTAGCGGTTAAGAAGGAACCGCAAAACCCATGAAAAATGGAGATCAAAATATGGATATGAGGGAAGTGAAGAGATCAAGAAATTTAAAACAAGGGAAAATTAAATAAAGTAGGAGATGTGTAGCAGCTAAAATCAGAGAGATGAACGTCGCGTATTGCTCTGTTGACGGGTTTAAATGAAGTGGGAAAATATTTTTGGAAGAGAGAAATTGACTTGGTTAAGAAGGGAAGTTAAAAGAAGTTACAATTGTGGCTTTATGGTCAAATGATGCTTCAGAGGATACACAAAGAATCATCAAGGTTGGGAGTCATCTTGGCTATAAAGTCAGCAGCAAAATTTGCTTCATGAAATATTAATAAATTGAATTGATATATGTTATTTAAAGTATATTCTAATTAATTTAAAACTGCTACGATGAGCAAAAGTTTTAATTTTTAGAATGTATGAGATAATAAATATGTCAAAATTTAGAACAGAAAGTTATTCGAAATTGTATATAACATTGGGCCACGTTTGCACGAGTTATAGGTTGGCGAAGATAGGGTTAGTATCTGAGCTTAGCAAGTCCAGATATCAACTGCCACCACATCCATATCCAAAACTACTGAGATACGTGATAATACTCGAGCAATGGCCAAGCAGATAGCTGAAATTTATTCCCAAAAATGGCAGCTAAACTGTCAATATTTTCTTCTCTTACCGCTCACATTCCTCTCTTACCCAAGTCTTCATCATCTGCATCAGCTTTCCCTTGTGCTCTCACTTCCAGTAACACCAGGCTCCATCGATTCAAAATTCATGCAAACTTAGGTAATTTACATTTTCCATTGAATCTACTTTTGTTTTCTTTTTTGATTGGATGATTTACATGTTCCACAGTTTTTAGAGTTTGGGTTTCTTTTAACTGCGATGATGAAGAAAGTTGTTTGATCTGTTGGGGGAAGGAGAAGGAGAACTCGAGCCAAAAGGAAAGAAGAAATTTATAACAAGAGATGAAGAACCAGAGCAGTGAGTAGTGTTCTTCACCCACTTTATGAACTACTTTTATATGATTTGGCAATTCAAGTTCCAAGTGGTCGAATAACAGAGGGGGTTTAAAAATGAGTGCAGGTATTGGCAAACTGCAGGAGAAAGGGAAGGAGAGAATCCCATGATGACCCCTCTTCCTTACATTATCATATTTGGTATGTCGACACCCTTTGTAATCTTGGCCATTGCTTTTGCTAATGGTTGGATTAAGGTACCTGTTCGGTGATCTTGAGACTCGGATCTTCGACGCTGAAATGCATCTTTAATTCAGCCTTGTAAGCACCTGTTCATGTTACCATACTTCTTCTGAGTATTTATGTTGTAAATTTCTAATGCTAAAGAGTTGCAAAACCAAATCTTTTCCGAGGAATAAAGGTTTTGTTATCAGTTTGTGGCAAATTATCCAGCTTTTTCCAAGGCTAAATTTTTTCCTTTTAATTATGTCAACATTATCAAACAGAGATATGCAGTACTGAAATTTCGTAACAGATATAAATGGTTTCATTTACCTATGCAGATACTTGTATAGTACTACAATTATATATGTTTGAAGAAATCTGTGTTGAGCAAAGTGCCATAGACTGACCATCATCACCATCTTGCTTGTAAAGATGGTTCATCAATGTATGAGAAGGCATTCGCGAGGACTTTGGCTTCCTCGTAACAAATGATCGTTCATCTAATATCTTTGTCGGTAACTGCGGAGGCAGTTCAGGCTGAGGCTTGCTGAAATCACCATCGTTTAGTGGTGAAGAGAGAGTCTCATTTTTAATGTTGGTATTCAAGCAATGAATAAAGTACTGCATCATTAGATCCCATAGCTACTTAAACATGTGAACAGCTTTATACGAATCTGCAATTTAGATGTAAAAGAAGCTTGAAAATACCTGCAAATCCAAAATGTTATAAGCATTCCCAGACTCATCGAATTCACACGGTAGGTTCGGGGAAAATCTCCTTAGCTCATCAACAACGAAGCGGTATTGGTAAACACCACATGGGAGCATCATCATCATCATGAAATCTTTATCCAAAGAGTGCAAGGGTTCTTTGAGAGGAGAAGAAATGAAGGTTACTGCAATTTGGATTAAAGAAAACTGCTCAAACAAAAGAATGAAACTTCATAGACACCATAACGGAGATTCCAGTACATGGTATTCCAGTCATTCCACGATCCGGTAATAGCAACTTGCTTGCCAACAAAACACCATGTTATCATCACAGCTCTCTTCTCCTCTTGGTGAAAATCCTTGTAGTGTGTTGACTTTTGTACGGGTGGATCATTTTGGATTTGCATCGTTTGACCAGATCCAGCAAAGGGAGCCTCAGATATCTGGAGAAAGAAATGCAACACGATTGGATTTTCCATTACATGTGTCTCCATGTGTGTGTCTCCTTAGATATACAAGCCCCTTTTTTTTCAAATGTTGGACTAATAGTCAAGCTATTTCAATATTTCATATCCAGTGATATCCTTTTAGCATAATATGCAGAAACCTGTCTCCTTCAGAACATCATTTTGACAAAAAAACATGTATAATCAGCATTCACTATACTTCATTTACAACCGCAACTCTTCAAAGATCAAAATAGCTCACAAGGACATACAAGCCTATTCCTTTAAAGCAAATGAGAAGGTAGAAATGCAGACCATAGAATAGGCTGTAAATATAAGACTCCTACAAATATAGTGGAGAGTACATATGAATACATGACAAAAAGTACATACGATTACATGATTTAACTGTTTTGGCTAGTAAGAATCAGCATTAAAATTGATATATCAAGGTTCTAGTCTATGTGCAGCAGTATAAAATAATGAAAAGGGCAGTAATAGCTGAAATGGTTCTTCAGAGAGTTACTAATTCATCTCGGAATCTTATTCTTCTTCTTGACTTAACAACTTCGGGCATTTCAGCCACCATACTTGAATAAGGGGCTGTTTGTTTGCCTCTTAATGGAATCATTCAACGTTGAATGCTGAACCGTTCAACATTCAGCGGGTTTGTTTCGCACCTCTGAATGATTCAGTGCTGACTAATTCAGCAAAACAATGCTGAATGATTCAGCACAAAAGTACATTATGAATGATTCAGAGCCATTATCAAACAACATGTCACATTCAGAGCCTCTGAATCATTCAACATTTGAATGATTCAACGTTTAATCATTCTGAAGTAAACAAACCCCCCCTAAGTCTCATATTAGTATCGTGTGAATCATTCATTTCCATATAAAATTGCATTTTCATGCACTATTTAGAGGCTTCACGCTAGCTGTTCTAGACTTTCAATTATCAGCAGCACCTTAGGAAACAAGTAAATGTTTCAGAAAAATGATCAAATGTCTCAGAAGCCAGATTGTGCTAAACATATGAAAGCTCACCAGCAAACTTAGGCTATTCTCCTAATACCCCCTGTCCAACTATGGTTCATGTATGCTTACATCATAAATAGTTCAGATGACCCAGAAGCATCACGGTGACTATGCTTTTAAGCAATCCTAAAAGTTCACTTAATAAGTGGAGTACTAATTCAAACCACGTACACAGAGATTGGAGACCTAATCATTAATGAAAAAAAGTTTATATATATAAAAAAAGGTTCAGCATACCTGCAAATTCAAAGGTCTGCCTGAATCGTTGTACTCCCATGGCAAATTATTTTTGCTATGGAGATCCTCGTAGCGTGTAGTGTTTTGCACTAATTCATCATTTCGAGCTTGGATCATTTCAGTGGATCTTAGCCAGGGAAACATAGGGATCTAAATGTACAAGTTCAGATCAGATGTTATTGGATGCAAACATTCCATATAATGAACAAAGCTTCAAACCCCCAAGAGCAAGTACTTCAAATGTCAATTTCTGGGCATACTTATACAATGTCACTAAATCTCTATATATATGCTTTTCATTCCCTATAGAGATCAATCTAGTCCAAAATCAAATGCATATCTACTAATAATAAATGAAAAGAAAAGATTGAACTTCAGCAAAAACTGTGATACAGAACATGTAAAATAATTTGAATGATGAGCAAAGGTGAATATTTTACTACTACACAACAAACACCAGGGGAAACTAATTGCAACATGTTAAGCAGACTATAAATACAAAATTAACACTACTGGAACAAAGTATATTATTTATGTAAAAGCCATTAAAATCAAGTATATGTCCCCAGGTTATTCCACCCTTCAACCCCACCAACAACTAACCTGTGGAGGGAACAGGAAAGGAAGCTGATAGCTCATTAGGACGATGGGGAGGGAATGAAGCATTGGGTCAGAGTTAAATTGTTCATTATCCACCTCATATCCATTCTTCTTTGTTCCTGAAGTCCCTTCACCATCCTCTCTACCACCAACATTTCCCATTACTTCAAAACACAAAAAAAGAATTTAGTTAAATAATTTCAATAGTATCTAATAAACTAAGAAACCCCCATCATTTCCCATTGAACCAAATTGCAAGAAAAGAACCAGAAAACCAAAAACTTAAAACTGTTGTTTTAGAAGGGGTAGTTTTACTCACGATCACAAGAAAGCAAGCAAAGAAACAAGTAAAGGGAAAGCACCATAAATTTTGCAACTTTATATTTACGTAATTTATTTTTATTAATTATTTGTATGCATTTGATGAACTGATTGATGTTTTTAATGGTAAAGTACTACTTGTTCACTCCATCTCTCTCTCTCTCTCTCTATACTGGTGTGAGTTGAAAAAAAAGGAAAAAAGAGAGTAGAAACAGGTAAAAGATGAGAGGTGAATTATATTATATGGGTTTTGATTTATTTAGCTAACATAATTTTTTTTAGTTTTCCTTAAATTAGAGATTATTAGATGAGTAAAAATAAATAATGAGATTGATTTTTTTTTAATAAATATTTTTTTATTATTAATCTCAATTATCTATTTTTATTTATCAACGATCTTAAATCAATGTAAAATTAAAAAATTTTACATTGTGTAATATAATATTATCTCGAATTATATATATATATTTAGTATCCACTTACACAATGTAAAACTCTTTAGTTTTATATAAGTTTAGGACCGTTCGATAAGTGAAAATAGATGATTGAGATTGACTCTTTGTTTTTTAGTAAATATCTTCTCATTTCCTACTGTTAATCTCAGCAATCTATTTTCACATATCTAACGGTCTTAAATCTGTGTAAAATTTGTGTAACAAAATCCTATCATATATATGCACACATATAGGATTAAAATTCACTTATAGGATTAAAATTCACTTACAATTAATGTAAAAAAACTTATTTTTACATATTTTTAGAATTATTAGATGAGAAAAATCAAAATTTGAGATTAATAATAGAAAATTGATATTCTCTAGAGCTCTTCTATTTTAATTTGTATTTAATTTATACTAATGGTTATTTCACAATTTTTTAAACACTAATGGTCTATTCGATCACCACCCTCGTATGTTTTGGACTTTGGGCCACGTAAGAAAATCCATCCACATGTAACTTTAGTTATTTTCATTCAAAGCTTAATATATCCAACGACTTTTACAAACTATTAAAAAATCATATTAAGTGGCTCCTCTCCTATTTTTCTCTCTCGCAGGGCTTCTTTCTTAGTTTCTTTTTCTATATCATTTTCATCTCTTTTTCATCATGGATAGTAAGACGCGTTGTCTATTGTTGGTTTTTTTCTTCTCTCTTTTCTCTTTCTTCAAATTATGTTATTTTTATCGTATTTTTCTTGTTTTATATATCTGAGTTATATTATTTTATTTTATTTAATTAATCTATTCTTATACATAGAAATGATTGATGGTTTTATTTTCTCTTATAACAAATTTTCTCTTTTCTCATGGTTATATTTTTATCGTATTTATTTGATTATATTATTAATCTACTCTTTTTCCATACCTTCAAGTTAATTCTATTTTATTGATAGGCAGTTATAATCACCAAAGATAAGTTAATATTGAGTTGTTATAAAGTCAGTTTGTCAATACGTCATTATTGTTATACGTATTTTATGTAAGTGTTGATGATGTTTATCTCTCACCATCTATAGTGGTATCTGTTTGTATCTATCAATTTTTTTGAGTCATTTGGATAAGTATTTAACACTTTTGTTTATGATTATATTTTATAATTTAGGTGGGTAGGTAGGATAGACAATTGTGATAATGGCTCATAATGAGAGTGTCCTGAGATTGAGTGAAGGATGAAAAGAAATTGAAAGAAAAAAGAAAAGTTATGAGCTTTATAAATGGTAGCATTGTATATTATTGCAACATCCAAGGCGTGGAGCTGAGGTTACAGCAAAGTTCATCAAGGGCGAGAGGCTGGAGAAGCAGCTACAGAAAGGACAAGGAATGGGAGAATGTAAGGTGAATGTTATGAGTATAGGTA